TACCAGAGTCTACTAAAATTCAATGGAACTGATTGCTGAGTACATATCTATATTATTTTGAGAGTAAGTTGTACAAACAGAAAGACTATTCATATGGGATGGATGAGGACAAATGCTGAGAGCAGAAGAAATGAGAGTAAAAAAAAAGATGACTGGAGGGAGATGACAAAGAATTGCACAAAGGAAAATGGAGTATGACATTCTATATTACCTGCTTATCTGTATGCAAAGACAAATAACCTTCAAAGTACAAATGGGTGAGAAGTTTATGCTGTCACCCAATACACCCTTTTTATTTTTGCAAAGTTATGAAAATTCACAGCATGTTCCATGGAAACAGTACAGACAGGGGCTGCATTTTCAACACTCTGAATGTGGGAGAAAAAGAAGTCAGTTTTAGCCTCTAGACTGGGTTTAAGAGACTTAATTAATCAATGTCAGCAGCTGGGTCTAGAATTTAAAAGAATGATTGTATCATCAGCATAGAGCAATATACACATTTTCCTATTCCAAAACTCAGCTGTATGGACATAGAGAGAAGTGCAGGACAGAATGTGCCTGAGTTGTTAACAGGTGGCCTTCTAATCCTAGGTATGCTTCACCAGGTTATCTGATCACCCCACTTTGGGGGCAGTCAATTTCACACTGAGTGATCCTGGAGGGATGGAATGAGAATCCGGAGGGGTGGAATGAGAATCCCATGAACTACAGCAGCTACCACTTGTCAAAACATTTGGTTTTCTTACACAGGGACACTTCTATCTGGGTTGCATGTAATTTTCAAACAATGGTCTCTCAGAAGCATAAAGGATAGTGCATGTTCTTTTGGAGACCTAAACCATTAAGCTTGTTCTTGCATCCTCCTTCCACGCTGACATAGGTCTGACATTTGTGTGTCCTAAGGGGCAACTAGTACTGTGATTTTCATGCAGTTCTGCCAATAAATAGATAAGAAACAAACTAGCAGTGCCAAATCACAACAACACCAACAACAAAACCACCAAGATGTAAAGGTGCTCAGCATAATAGTTCCAAACATTTTTTCTGATATCTGATGGGTGCAATTCTCTCATAAAGGAGGACCATGCCTGAGGCGAACATCCAATTCTGACCGTTTTAGGAATGGTGACCTCCAATATTGGATGTCCCATGATAAGCAATTGAAGAAGACCAGCTCTGAATCAGTCCAAGGCAAGTTAGGCTGATTTCCAAGATGCAAATCAGGTTCAGAGACAAAACTGAGGGTCAGTGTACATCTCTGACTGTTGATATATTGGGAGTTTATAAGAGGCAACAGCAAGAACCTTCTTGGATGGCCGATGGAAATCTTATCTAATCACTGGCATGATTTAACCCTAGGAATAGAAGCCGAAGCATCATCCATACCAAAGAGGGCAGCATAAAATTTCCTGTGCAATTGTCATCTAGGTTTCTCCTTAGAATGAGCCCCAAACTGTGATTCTGAGTTGAGCAGTTTTTTCTTAGAGC